GCCGTGAGGTAAAAGACATGAAACCGGGCCTTCTTGGCGGTGGCTCCTCGCCTCTGGAATAACCTCCCACCGGAGATTCGCAAGGCCCCTACACTGGGTACTTTTAAAAGCCAACTGAAAACATGGATGTTCATCCAGGCCTTCCTTCCTATCAGCTCTTGATTCTCTTTTCTTTTCCTCTAGGCACTGTATCTGTTATAAATTATAATGTTTTAATGTTTGTACTGATTTAATGTACAGTGGTGCCTCGCATAGCGAGGTTAATCCGTTCCGGATTAACCTTCGCTATAGCGAAACATCGCTAAACGGAATTTTAAAAAGCCACAGAGGGTCCACTGTATATGCTCAGACTCATAGTTTATTGTTTAATGCAGCAATACCGTAACAAGATCTCTCTAAAATATATTTACATTTTCAATGGCCTCACAGAAATCTACACTGTACAATGGTGCCCCGCTTGACGATTACCCCACTCCACAACAAACCCGCTTTACGATGTGGTTTTTGCGATTGCAAAAGGATGTTTCAAAGGGCGATTTTCGCTTCATGACAATCAGTTCCCTGCTTCGGAGACCGATTCTTCGCATTACAACGATCTAAAAACAGCTGATAGTCAGGTTCCAAAATGGCCGGCCGCTGTGCAAAATGGCTCCCCGCTGTGTTTAGGACGGATTCCTTGCTTAACAGGCACCGGAAAATGGCCGCCCTATAGAGGATCTTCGCTGAATAATGAGGCATTTCGCCCATTAGAATGCATTAACCGGTTTTTAATGCATTCTAATAGGTTTTTTACTTTCGCTTGACAACGATTTCATTGTACAGCGATTTTGCTGGAACGGATTATCATCGTCAAGCAAGGCACCGCTGTAGTATATTTAAATGATAGATAAAAGTAAACACTCTCATTCACTCAACCGTTCCACAGAAGAGACTAATTTGATTCATATACCCACCTAAATCAAGTAACCTGTCTCCAGGACGATTCCACTTCCACCCTTCTAACTGCTGGTGCTCAGTGTATTGCAGTCTTCTATCATGGAACACAACTCTAATGATACTCTTTGAAACAAGAAAAAACACAGCAGAATTTTGAGTCGATCATAACAAAGAACACGGATATATATAACTGTTCACTTTCTTTCCAAATAAAATATTATATTATTATATAGCATTTCCTAGAATGCAATTTAATCTCATCCTTGGAAATACAACAAGCAATCTATTATATTTCTTTTGTCCTTCTCTGCCTCTGAGTTACACCATAGCATAGAGTTCACTGTGTAGGGATGGGACACTATGCATCCCTTCTTAAACTTCTCTTCATCAAGTCTACCACTCCTCCAAAAATATTTCTGCAGTGGTGGTGCTCTAATGTGTTGCATGGGAAATACCCGTCTCTCTACTTGCCTTTCCTCAACCCCAAATGGACACCCAGCCTCTTCCAGCTAATCAGAAGTTTATCCATAATGCCCAGAGTCCAAAAGCATGAGACCTGCCAGTAGACTCAATGTTCACACAGTTAACTGAAGTAATTAAAGTTTTAACTGTTGTAAAACAAGACAAACAAGAGAAAGAGCTTGTTTGAGGCTACTGACACGATCGCACCTAAACGCCCTCTCC